CAAAAAACTTTAAGCTTCAAAAAATGAATAAATTTTAGAATTTTTTTTTATTAAAAATTGAAGTGTATTGTATCTTTTCTAATTTTGAACAGTGCTCTCCGAATAACTTCTCCCTGCACCAATCTGGTTGATTTTGCACTTGAACGCGTCTGTAAGCTTTCGTTAAACTCTTTTCTCTGAAAAAATTTAACAAACCGATGACAGGAATCCTGTAATAATCAACAAAGTAAATAATTGGTAATGGATCAATGACAGGATAAAATGCAAAAATCCAAACGATGATACGATTCAAAATTTGCCAATCAATATTGAACAACGGGATGGTGAATAAGACTCCAAAGGGGATGAAGAGAAGTGTTATTGGGATGATGGTCTGAAAAATTATTTTTTGAGGTTTCTATACAAAAGCTTCTTACCTGCGCCACTAGAGCTTTGTACAATTGCATTTGTAGTTTTCTCGAAAAATCCGATTCTCCATGTTCCAGAAGTTTCGAGACAATTTTCCAACTTTTCCAACCAGCAACCACAATGATTATAAAAGCAATCACCATTATGCTAACAAAACAGGAATATCCAGAAATACTTCTCCAGTTCACACTGTTATTAGTTGAATAGTATACCCCACCAATGCTTGCAAAATCCGCGAAATTCAAGTTCGATTTATTGAACATGTTTCTGAAAAATTAGCTGAAGTAAGCCAGGTCCTCCTGGAAATTGTCGTACCTTAAATACTCAGTCTCCAGAGAACCAGAACCAGATTCGAAAAATATCTCGATGGTTATATACCACGAAAAACCGCCAACCACTGGGATCACAAACCAAAGAGCTAGATAATTGATCTCGAAATATTTCAGTTTTCCTTTTCTGTAAATGTAGAGTTTTCAAAGAAAAATGTTCTTTTTTAGGATTATATAAGGGTAATTCAGATATTTCCAATTTTTCTGATAATTTCCGGATATACTGAACAAAATAATACCTTGAGTTTTGTAACTGACATTTTTAAAAATGCAACAAAGTTTCCTATTTTTCAGAAAACGAATAACGGCCTAGAAATTTAAAATCTAGGTTATGAGCTAGAAATTAAAAAAAAATCATCTACTGAAAATAGGGAAAATTAGGTTATGACCTACAAATGAAAAACAAGGTAATGGCCTTAAGAACCTCAAAATTACGTCGTGACCACAAAACAAAAATAATACCTTATTACCTAAAAATCCTAAAATATTAGGTCATGACCTAGAAATCTAAAAAATCATGACCTAAAAATGAAAAATTAAGTCATGACCTAAAAATGAAAAATAAGGCTATGACCTAAAATGAAAAATTAAGTCATGACCTAAAAACGAAAAATTAGGTCATGGCCTAAAAATCGGGAAAATGAGGTCATGACCTAAAAATGAAAAATCAGGTCATGACCTAAAAACGAAAATTTAGGTCATGACCTTGAAATCCAACAATCGAGGTCATGATCTAGAAACCTGAAGAATAGGTCATGACCTAAAAACGAAAAAATAGGTCATTAAGTTTGAAAAACATGACATTAAGAGTTTGAAAAGGGTTATGGCCTAGAAATTCAAAAAAAACCTAAAAACGAAAGATTAGGTCACGACCTTAAAATAAAAAAACTAGACCTAAAAAACTTCGGAGAAAAAGTGTATGAGCTTTCTTATCAAAACTATTTTTAAAGTTCAAATATTTACCTCTCTAGTGCAAAAAATCTGTAAACAAAATGAATCGCAATCCCATAAATTGTGACTCCAAAGCAACCACAAAGAACTTCTGAAATCCAATTTTTGATTTAAAAACTTCAAAAATTTTCATATTTACTCATAAAGAATACAGCCACTTCTGGTGGAATGCCCCTCTTCTTAACATCAATTATCATAAAATATCCGCTTCCATAGGTGAACATCGTCTGTATAAAATGTATTCTGGAAAATTCTGGAAATCGGATTACCGGTTGAACTATAACATCAATGATGCTGAAAAATATAGAAAAGCAGCAGAAATAAATCATCAAGTGTCTATAAGTTCCCATGATTTTTGGGGATTTAGTAACGATTAGGTAGATCAAGGAAGAGTTGATAAAGAAGGTCAGAGCGAAGGATAAAGGTTGGATAGCAAGGTCCATAATAACAGTATCTAGTTACAGCCGCCCACGGCTACACTGTTATAAATAGACAATATAATTCTTGTAATCTCTAAAAACTATATTTCCGAAAATAAAAGACGCCTTCAAGAAAACAGGAAACCAAAAAGTGTGAGAATGAAGAAAAAGGTTGTGATCATGAGATTATCAGTGATGCATGTCTGATATACTTCAATTGGCATGTCATGTCAAAAAATAATGATAATTTCATTAGTAAAATGAAATGATATGAGAGGTTTTGAACTTTTTGGTTTGAGTCACAAGGAAGTTTTTTGTCTAGACTTTGAACGAGGATCTAGGAGATATGGAGATCGAACGGGAAGTCTCTTTGATCACTTATTGCTCAGCGATCACCAGAAGCTACAGTGTGCCATATTTTTCGATTTCCGTTTATGACTTACTGTAGATCACAAACTACAATCGATAACATTTTTCAGTTTCCGTTTATGACCTACTTTAGTATTCTCCGAAATACCGTAAACACTCGGATAGAGTGCCACCCAAACGTTTACCTCTAATAGTAAGGTCATACATATATCTCGGTTCTTTTCAAATATACAAAAAAGTTGTCAACTGACAAAATATTTTTGATATTATGCTTAACATTTTATCAGTTGACTAATATTTGATATCTTTCACAGGAAATGAGATACATGGATTCAAAGTTTAGAGTTTGTGTGGCACTCTTTTTTAGTGTTTATGGTAATAACGTCGTTTGATTGATTCATTAATTTGGTGAATACAGCAGGCAACCTTTCTGGAAATGGGCTTAACATTTAAACAGCTTGAATTTTCAAAAAGATTGCAAAAATGTTTTATTCAAAAATGGGAGAAGGAAAAGATTGTCGGAGTTTTTCTGGGAGTTCAAAAATGGTCCCTTTCATATGCCCCTTTAGTCGAGCTTGCGGTCGAGCCGGTGGCCGCGTAGCTCAGCTGATAACCGAATAGCTCAGTCGGTAGCCTCGTAGCCCAATGGGTAGATGCCTAGCTATCCCACAGCTCAGTCGGTAGCCGCGTAGATCAGCGCTGAGATGCTTAGCTTAGCATGTAGCAGAGTAGCTCAGTCCGTAGCCGTGCAGGCCAGCTGGTAAATGCCTAGCTCAGCGGTAGCTGAGCCACTTAGACGAGTGGCTCAGTCAGTAGTGGTGTAGTTCAGCCGGTAGCTCGTAGCTCAGTCGATAGCCATGTAGCTCAACCTGTAGCCGTGTAGCTCAGCCAGTAGCCGCGTAGCTCAACTAGTAAGCGCGTAGCTCAGTCTGAAGCCTTGTAGCTCAGCCGGTATTTGCATAGCTCAGCTGTAGACGTGAAGCCGGCATCTCTAATATTTCGGTCACAAATTCAACATTCCGAGAGACATCTAAAATCGAGGTCTGCTGAAATTCCGAAACTTGTGACTATCATTGTTTTTTCCGGGACTGTCTCGAGTCATAGCCAGACAGATATGACATAAAAACACCATCTTGTGATAGTATTCTCACGTATTTCCGGACAATTTCCTTTGCTGACAGTGTCTACATCTATATTATTGTTCTTCGCCCATCATTAATTAATTCATTCATTTATTCTCCGCCGAAATGATACCTTTTGACATTGCTAGCTGTCTATCAAAAATTGGATTCCTCATCACCTTCCTCGCTGGACTGTTCTTGATCTACCTGACAATGGCACACATCGAAAATATGGTCACCACATACAAGCGGATTATTGTGTATTTCGCAGTCTCTGGAATGCTGTTTTCGGGGCTCGAAGTCATTTCCCGCCCGTTTGCTCATAATTACAATGGAGCTATTGTGTTTTTCAGCACAAGCAAGTTGGATTTATCCCAGGAAAACCTGCAGATATTGATTTCAATTTGGTCTGGCTTCTATTCTCTAACCATTGCATTCATTTCATTTCAATTCGTTTATCGATACCTGAGCTTGTTTCATGTGAACAGTTTGGAATATTTTGATGGATTTGGAACTGTAGTTTGGATGGTATACCCATTGATTCCTGGCGCGATTTATAGTATCGCTTTTCATATTTTCTGTCAGCCAGATGAATACACAGACAGCTACGTCAGGTGAGTAACAATACTGGGAGCACAGGAAAACCTCTAAATCTCTAATATCGAAACTTCCAGATGGGAACTCTTCGAGACCTATGGAATTGCAATTTCCGAAATTCCCCGCTTTTTTATGGTTCCATTTGACGCATCTGGAACTCTAAGGATGGAAAGTGTGATTAACATTTCTGTGGACTTATTTCTTATTGGTTTTCATTACCTCATCATACTGTATTGTGGACTACAAATGCATTTCAATATGAGAAAGGAACTTAGAAAGTTCTCAGCTCCTCAACGAAGACTCCAGCGGCAATTCTTCAAAGCACTTATTGTTCAGAGCATGGGGCCAACGATTTTTCTAGTTCTACCAGCTGCTCCAGTTCTATTGACTCCAGTGTTATCACCTCTCCTGGATGTCAAAGTCAGCTGGCAAACCGGATGGATGTTTACATTGATAGGGCTGTATCCACCGTTTGATAGTATCGCCTTTATGATAATTGTGTCAGAATACAAAAACGTTATCAGAAGTAAGTTTAGAATACCGTAAACACTCTAATAGAATGTCACTCAGTTTGAGCTCAATTATCTCGGTTCCTCGAAAAGATATCAAACAAATTTTAACTGATGAATTACTTTTCATAACGGCGCCTGCATTTTATCAGTGGACGGATTTTTGTTATCTCCTACAGAGATAGAGATAATTGAGCTTAAGTATAGTGTGGGCTTCTATTAGAGCAAATACAGAAGTTAAAGAATGATTTTTCAGAACAACTCAAGCTGCTCATTGGAGATAAGACACCGGTAGCCAGTATTATGTACTCAAAGTCCAGTCGAACACTTTGAAGCGGTTCTGGCCTCGTTCTGAAGCAATTGAAGTCCGATTTTTCTACTTTACCGTTCTTTATGATCTAATATTTTTGAATAAGTCATTGTGGAAACAATTTTAATCATTTGTTCAAAAATATGAAAAAAGAAATCCAAAACAACCCCTTAAATCACAAACAATGAAGGATTCGAACTAAATTCAAGGAAAAAATGTGATGACTCAATACCAGAAGGCTGATCGGAATTTTTTTGCTTTCTCTAAAATATCTTATGACTGTTTTGATATGCGTTACGAAATCCTTTTTTTCAAACTGAATTTATATATTTTTCATTTGATAATTTATTAGGTTGGCGGGAAAGTCTTTGTCACTTTTTCAATAGTTTATTTCTCAAAGAAAAAATAACCGAATAATTAATTATATTGTCCATCATTATCAACAACATGTCTCCAACGTTCCCTCAATTTATGGATTCCATTGCGGTAGAATCCAGCCGGGCGTGAGGCAAAGTATTGTTTGAGTGCCGCTTCGACCGCTCCACGGGAATTGAAGCTTCTTCCTTCGAAGGCACGTGTCATATCGCCAAATAACCAATAGTCGGAAGGAGCAAGATCAGCAGAATACGGGGGGTGAGGGAGAACATTCCATCCATATCCCATCAGCTCCTGCTTCACTTGTTTCGAAACATGTGGGCGAGCGTTATCATGTTGATAGTACACTTTCTTGTCTTTCAGGGCCGAACGGTCGACTGCTTTCTTGAGGTTTCGTAGTTGAGTAGTGTAGAGGTCTCCAGTTATTGTTTTGCCCTCGGGCAGAAGTTCCCAGTAGATGGGGCCGTCCACTCCCCACCACACAGAGAGCATAACTTTTTTCGGCTGAAGGTCGGGTTTGGGGACATCCTGTGGGCTCTCTCCTTCTCCAACCCACTGGGATTTCCTGTGGTGATTATCGTAGAAGACCCACTTCTCATCTCCGGTTATTAGCCGGTCCAGCCATCGATCGCCCGCGTGGAGAGTGAGAAGAGTAATCGAATCGTCGACTCGGCGGTCAAGGTTGGCTTGAGTCAGGTGATGAGGTATGAATCGACCAAAAAGTTTTCTCATTCCAAGAGACTTCAAACCTTCAAGGACTGTGCTATGGTGAACTCCGAATGTGACAGCTAGTTCACGGCTAGATTGAAATGGATCCGATTGCAATGCGTGCTTCAGCTTGTCCAAATCCAACTCACGGGGTCTCCCAGAGCGATCCTTTTCATCGAGCGAGAAGTCATCTTTTTCGAAACGATGGAACCAATTGCGAATAGTATTGTAGTGAGGGGCATGTGTGTTGTACACATTCTTCAAGAAAGTTAACGAATCCTTCATCGTGGTGTGAGATAGGAAGAGGTAAATCAAAACATGTCTGATGTGAATAGCAGTGGGAACAAACATATCGTTTCAATTACAGATGAGGAGCAGGGAAGGAAATGGGGACTTGTTTATATGGAAGGTTCTTATCACCTTGTTATTCACTAGAGTCGATATCATACACAGCCTCCATATACGAGAACAGTGATTAAACAAACAGAGTGACAAAGACTTTCCCGCCAACCTAATATTGTGATGCTCATAGATGAGTCAAAATTAATATCAATACCGCCCTTGTTTTTGGGGTTTTCGCGGTGTTTCGACCGCAAAAGTAGTGTGTCGCTGGCTATCAATACTGCCCTTTTGGGGTTCTTGTGCAGTGTGTCGCTGGCGAAAGCATATGTTTGGTTAGTGTCTATGCACAGATTCTTGTGTTTTTAAAATTATTTTTTTGTGAAATAGAAAATTTTTTCGAAAAACTGATTGGCTGTCCGAAATCAATGCTTGCTGAGAGTGAACATCCTGTTAAAATTTTTTGAAGAGCGAACTACCGTATCTTTTGAGTCTATTTTGAATTTTATTTTTTTTTATTTTTACGATTTTATAATGATTTTGGTCAGTTTTATCCGATTCACATTAATACAACTACGAATGTCGTCGGAAAATTTAGAAAATAGAAACTAAAATCGACAAGGCAACATTTCTATCGACAAGGCAACATTTGCCAAGTTGGAGGAGGAATTGCTCAATGAGGCTCGAGCATTCAACCAGAGGAGAAACCAGCACAATAAATTTGATCTCCATTATCTTACTGTAAATGTGGCGGTAAGATATGCCAAAGAGATTATCGAGGAGGCTCGAAAAAAGGGAGAGCGATGTGAGCACCTTAATTTTTGAAATCTGAAAATTTTTCCTATTTTCAGCGGTCTCCCTGGTTACTGGGGCTGGGAACAACTCCATAAATGGCATCTCCAACACAAAAAATGCCATAATGGGGGAAATCCGATTCAACATGACCAATTGTCGTGTGGCAGAAGAAATCCGATTCAACATGACCAATTGTCGTGTGGCAGAGCCTTGCAATAAAGGTATGATTAATGTTGAATTCTGGTAGCTCGCAATTTTTTTGAGTTGACATTGTTTTGGTTCCTTAAGTTTTTCTTGAGTTTATTGTATAAATATAATGTTCCCTTTTCATTATTTTGGTTCATTTTCCTGTGTTTTATCAATGATCCCTAACGTTGTCTAACTCACAGAAATCTATGCTCGTAATAATTTTCTTGTTCACTAAAACGCTCATACCGTAAAACCTGTAATAGAAGGGCTCTCTGACTATTAATTTTGAGCTAATTCTTCTCGATTCCTGTCGAAGATACGACAAGGTTGTTAACTGATGAAAAGTTTATCATAATATCAGAAACTTTTTTGACATGTTTTCGAAAATTGACATGTTTTCAAAATTGACATGTTTTCGATATCTCGCTAGAAAAAAAAATTCTCAAACATGGCAGAGTGCAACCCTTCCATTACAGATTTTAATGTAATTTATTTATGTATTGTGCTTTATATGTTATTTTTTTTTACGAGTAAACTTTTTTGATAACACGAACTTTGTTATAATTCTTTTGGGTTGGTTTGGTTCCCTAAGCAATTCTATGTATACATTACCCTCTGCTCCTCTTCGACAAAAGGGCTGTTGGCGCAATCACTTATCAGCGTCTCACTCCCAAGGCGCAATGCCATAGGTGGCGGTTCAAACACATGTCGACTATGATTTTTATTTTTTCAAAACAAAAACAATTATAAGAGTTTATATATTACCTTTTCTTTGAACTTTTTTTTTTGAAAATCGCAAAACCCCTAAATAAAAAATCCTTTTTCCAGAATGCCGGATTCTGAATTCCAATCGCGAGGATTTCTTGCCCTCAAAAGTCGTTTTGTTCGTGTCCCGAATTCTGTAATAAGTGAGACCTGGCTCCAACAAAAATACCTCATGAATCAAAAAAATGTCGCCAGAACGAATTTGTGCATTGAAAATGATGTGGAGATGTTTAAGGAGATCGAGAAACTTCATGTTAGTTTTTTTAATCGCTCAAGTTTTCAAAAAGAAAGTTAATTTTACTAGAAGCGAAGAAAAACTGAAGTGTTAGATGTCGAGGAGAAAAAGGCACTGGAGAATCAAATCAATGAGCTAGTGGAAAGAAAAAATGTTCCTTTGAATATATTTTTCACTTTGCCACCTCATCTTCTGGTCGTCGATCTGCATGGATTCCTCATTGGAGGTGCTGTTCGATATGTGAACAAGATCGCCGCGGAAATGATGAAAATGTCGGATTCCAGAGGTGAAGCACGTTTTTTCGCACGAAATTCGTATCTTAACTTTTCAGAAGTCGTTCTGATCACTGGTCACGCGAACACCAGATGTGACAAGGATCCACCGATAAAGATCAACTTGCTCCAGAAGTTTCCACAGAAAATTCGAGTAGATCCGAACAACGGCGGTCGTCTGATTTTCACTGGCAAGTCAGATGTACAGAAGTAATCCGCGACATGATTCTAATCCTGCCGGTAACACCTCTCTAATAATTTTTTGTTTACTTCGATTAATTTTTTAATAAGCTTTACTAAAATCCACCGGTCCAACTCTATTCCTATCCCTTTCCAATTCCCATATTCCTATCTCTACTGCCATACAAATTTTCCATGTACATATGAATCTCTGATTTTGTTCTGTCACATAATAAAACAATTGTTTGCTCACTATTAGAAGACTGTCCATCTTCTCCCCGGATGAATCATGAAGTGACCAGGGACACGGTATGGTACCACACATTCATTTTCTGAGTAATGAGCACATGATCATCAAGGTCATCAGGGAATGGAGACCTCATGATCTGAGTCATAAGTGAATTGGGAGGCGGGGAAGTATTCGAAGTCGACGCACTATAAATTTGGAAGGGACCAACAATGAAGACC